GGAAGGGAAGGGAAGGGAAGGGAAGGGAAGGGAAGGGAAGGGAGACAAAGTTTGCGTCTCTCTAAATAATACTTTTTCTCTATTGTATTTTTCCATTACTTCCTTAACTAAAACATTGGGAAGATAACTCTAGAGTGAGAAGAATCTGGGGGATGAAGCCCAGAAAATTATAGGGAGCTGGAAATTTTCCACATGATCATGAAGAAGGGAAAGGAACTGATGGATGTTCTCAAACTCTAGAAGGCAGAGGATTGCACAGGTTGGCATGGCAGGCTGTATTGCAGGCATATATGAGAGCTCCCTCTCAGTGAGGAAACAAAGGAGCAGAGCAGGTGGCCAGTTAGTGGGCAGTGTGGATCCCCTTAGTGGACAGTGTCCCTGGAGGGTGCCCTTTGGAGACTCACCTCTGTGATATCGAGCTGTGACCAGCCCAGGGACCACAAAGAACACATCTCCAAGCAATTCCAGTAAACTATCTCGGATTTCAATCGGAGACTGTTGTCCCAGGAAGTATTCATTAGCTACAACATGCAAATATTCGATGGGGATGTGCTGTAAAAAAATATAGTCATAGGAGATCTAAGTCAACAACAACAGCCAGCACACTAAGCATTAGCCTGAGCAGGCAAAATTCTGAGTGATTTTAGTGCCTTACCTCATTTAATCCACCTAGCAGTCCTACGGTGGAAGCATTAAAATTAGCTCTATTTAACAGAATAGTAAATGGGGTGTTAGAGAGGTTGATCTAAATTATCTCACAATCTGTTTGTGTTCACACCCAATGACCCTAACTGCAATACACATGCCTCTATATCACGGCAATGTTTTTAGGGGGTATGTTGCTGTAGGGAAGGCTGGACAATCTGCTGACACTTAAACTACTAACATTGTGGTAGGCTTCTTTGTGACTTGGGGAGAGGCTTCCTAAACTACATCCAGGAGTGCTGCTCAGACTCACTAATCAGACCCTCAGGAGGTTGATGGTTCTTAATCAGGCCCAAAGCAGGGGAGAATTCTGCAGCAGGTGCAGGCTGTGGTTCAAAGGCCTGGCCACCTGGACCACATGCCCAGCAGACCTCATGGTGCTAGAACCACTCAAACTGAGTGGACAGACTGTCTGGAGTCTCTGCTAAGTCCCCAGAACATAGTCCAAGGGCAAACTGCTAAGGAACTGGAATAAGATTATAACTATTTAGCATTTGCAAAACACCTCCAGGCATGCCACCAGGACAGGATGAAACTGCATGTCTTTCCTTTCATCTGGTACTTTCACAAATAACCTACTTCCAGCCCCTGGAACTTGGCTCAAGATACTGTTTCTACTTGAAATGCCCTCCTGCTCCATTGCCTCCCACCTCTAAGGTCTAGATCAATGACCATCTCTTCCACAAGGCATCGCCAATTCAGCCAGAAAGATTCCACATTTGTACTCCTGTAGCATTAGCACCTGCAAGCATCCTGACTTGCTGAAGGAAAACACTTTAGCTGATCCCTTCACACCCCCTACACCCATTTTGTTCTCATAGTTCCGCGCAAGCTCCTCTCACCATTACACTTCCAAAATTCATCTCCCCAGAGGAGCCACTGCCGCAACCTGTGGGGACCACAGACCTGGACTCTCCTTTGCTCTGGTTGTTATGCACTGCCATGTGCATCTACCCCACACTGCACACCAGTGCCTTGGGAATTGGTGGGTCACTGTAAACATTTGTTCCCTGAATTAAAGAATGAAATGAATCTGGCACTGAGTACATGCTGAGTAATACAGATATGGAAAGAAACAAGACAGAAGGAAGGAGAGTAGAAAAGGGAAGAAATCCACCTCTACAGCCTCGTGTCCAGAGCAAGCACTGATACTCCCGTGTTTGCGCAGTGAGAGAATGGGCAAATGCTTGAGTGAGAAATGCATGTGTGAGTGAATTACTGATACTGCTGAAGCAGCACAAGGCTGGGCTGGCAGGTAGTGATACTGGCCTTTAGTCCCGTGTGTGTGTGTGTGTGTGTGTGTGTGTGCGTGTGCGTGTGTGTGTGTGTCCCCAAATTCAGAACTTTTTAAATCACAGATAACTCAGAACAAACATCATATAATATGCAGCACATTCAAGGAGGCAGCATCCCAGTACCACATGGATATGTTCCGCCAAGAAACAAGAATAGTGGAATACGTAAAGTGAATGGATGTGTAGGAACAAAAATGGCTGTGACACAAATCAATCTGAGTCAGATTTGCCTGCCATGTGGGTTTACAGAAAGCCTTCAGATTTTTGGAGCTCTTTGCTTTCTGGGATTGTGCATAATAGATCATAGGATTACACATAGTAAAGGCCTGTTGAATGAATGAATTAATTAATTAATTGATGAGGAATGTCTCAACCTTTTGCGCTTACACTGAATGTGGCCCAGGGATGTTGGTTAAATGAACAAGTCTCTGGAGAGTCGCCAATACCCAAGTTCACTTACCAGGAGAGAGTGTATCGCGTGAAGGGCAAGAGATTTGTTGGAGCCACTGAGGGTCTCAGGAATCTCCTGCTGTGGAGAGAAGCACAGTGTCAGCTGTGAGCCATCTGGTCATCAGAAAGTAAACCACTCCCTGGAGGGCCCGAGCACCTGACTTGCCAGGAGAGAGTAGATGGAGTAAGAACCATTTCAGCCCAAGGTGGCTATGTGTACCTGAAGCCTGGATGAGCTAAGCAATGAACTTCTCCTCATGTTTGATAAAAAGTAGCCATTTGTCATACTTGTAACCTGGTTGGGTCCAAATAGCCATTCTGTAGCTCTGTTATTGGGTGTATCATGTCCTTCTCCCAAAATTTCTGTGTTAAAAACTAACATCCATGGGCTCAGAACTGTGTTTGGAGGTAGGGCCTTTAAACAGCTGGCTATGTAAAAAGAGGCAATCAAGGCAGGTCCGCATCCAATCTGAGTGGTGTCTTTATGAGAACAGAAATTCAGACACACAGAGGTACTGAAAGTTCAGGCATACAAGAATAGACCACGTGAGGACACGAGGAGAAGACATCAGCTGTAAGCAAGAAAAGAGGCTTCAGGAGAAACCAAAACCACTGACAAATCGATCTTGAACATTCAGCCTCCAGAACTGTGAGAAGATGAATTTCTGTTGTTTAAAGTACCAAATCTATGGTTGCTTTTTATAGTAACCATAACACCAAAGCTTTAACACCAAGTTCAAAGAGAAGCTAGAAAATCTCAAAACTAGTGGTTTATTTTCTCCTTCTAAAGACTTTTGCATTCAAGGTGCCCTGAGAAGCCATTTATTACATGATCATTTCCTGACGATGTTACAATTTAAAAACATGAGGGGTAGAAATACTATTTGATGATGAAATTAACTTCTTTGGAACATTTTCTGCTGAAAAACTTGGGTGAATGTATCACTAGGGTGGATATTTAAACATACCTGTGTCAAGGAACCCCCAGAGGCATTTGAGTTATCCATAAGTATATTTTCTATACTAAAAGCCTCTGTATGTTAGGGAGCTGGGATGTGTTTTACAAGGATTTCTTATGCTTTCCAACAGCCAGGAAAATACTTAACTACAAGTTATTAATGCAGTCCCTTGAAATATCCACATCTGGGTACCAATTCTCCTTCCATCACTGGAATAACTCCAATACCTAGCATTTGCTGAGTACTTACTGTGTTCCAGGCTATTTGATGTGTACCTGTTTAATGGGTCCTAAGTTAGTCCTATCCCACAGATGAGGGAAGAAAAATTGAGAGATGTTAGGCAGCTCACCTACATCACAAAGCAGTTAAGCAGAGAATCCAAGCTTTAAAGGCAGAGCCTGAATATATGAAAATTACATACAACATCCCTCCTTAATAAGGAAACTTAGGAAACCTACTTTCACCTCTTGGTTTCTTTAGCTGTAAAATAGGGATACTGTAGGGGGCAATGAATCTTAGCATATTATTTTAGATAAAACAGTTTTGGTAAAAGCCTACATGGTGCCTTGTGAAGCCTCCCGGGACAGTGCAAGAGCTAATTCCCCAGATCAACACTGCCCAGGAATGTCTCCCCAAGATAAGGGGGTGCCTGGGCCTAGGTAACCCTCCATGACCCTGCCTGGACAGTTCCATCTCCTGGCCCTAGGTAAACACTGTAACCCTAAAGGAATGCGTGGGTTGTAAAAAAGGAGACAAATGGAATATAGTGGGGGAAACATCTATCATGGTTAGACATGTGACCTGCAACTGACCTGGGGTCCAACAGGCTGAGAGGAACACCATATGCCCACCAGGGTCAGCGAATGTAACATCCCAATCTGTTGCCAATGGAAACCAAAATGTATATAAGGTGAAACAAAGTTGGCCATTGCCCGCTTCCACATTGGCAAGGGAAGTGAGGGTGGCTAGCCTCAAATTAAACTCTGGTTTTGTTCTCAATAGACTCGGGTCGCTTGTGGAATACAGCCCAATTTGTGCCAGGGGAATTTGTGCCGTAACAATACTAATGCTTGTTTTCAAGTTCTTGTACCAATGGCATGAGCCTGTCACACAACAAGCATTTGAGGATATCAGTAACACTTGTCCTCTTCCTTCAAGCACAAACCCAAAAAGTAGTGAAAGTCTGTATGTAAGCCACAATCTATCAACAACTTGTTTCACTTACAAAACAATAAAAATCTCTACCCCCACATACCCCAAAGCAGTTCTCTGGAGATCAAATTAATAATGACAGAATGTACCTTAACAGCCCAATGAACTGAAGGCTCTGGTGATAGTCATCTATCAAGTAGCTTTGTAATTTGACAAAGACCTCTATATGTTAACCCCACTTCCCCCAGTTTAAAACAGGGGTTGATCTATGTGAATGAACCTTGACAACATTATGAATTTGCTCTCTCCAATTAACTGAGGACAGATAACTTCCAATAAAGAAGGTCTTTCTTAACCACAGACTCCAGAAACGATGGCTCTTTCTCTGTATCCAGCCCTCAGTTCAGTGACCACTCCTCAGAGTGATCACTTTCTGGACACTCTTTGACCTCCCCAAAGCAGCCTTCTCCCCACAACGAAGTCCTTTATAGCTTTTATCACTTTCTAAAATCATCCTTTCAACTGTGTTTTTCATGATTCACCCCTCAGGAATGTAAGCCTGCAGATAGTGGAAACCTCACGACTTGTTCAGTACTTAATGTTCTGTTTTCATAAGTATAGAGTGAATGCTCAGTACTGTGTTCACTTGCCAATTGAATAAAATGATTTAATCACTTTGCAACTTGTACTACTTCAGTTTTCTTGGCATTCAAAATGCCTGGACCAAGTCTGTATATGAAAAGTTTAAAGGACTAAAGTTTTCCAAATGTGTGTGGATTTCAGCTCTGAAGTAGTAACTGTGTTTATTGGAAACAATCGTATGTAATGTTTTGTAATAAAGACCAAACTAATCTGACCCTCTCTTTCCTTTTTATATAGTTTCTTCTTTTGCTGTAAACCTGTATGAGGAACAAAGCAGACACTTGGCTGCAATCTACCACCACCACCGCCGGTCCTAAATACTCCTTCCTTTGGTTTAAAAATAGTTCGAGTCTGTCTACCAGAAGTCCACGAGCTGGAAGCTTGGTCTTCATTGTCATGGCATTGAAAAGTATTGAATCTTTAACACATGGGGCCCAATGGAAGGCAATTGCTGCAGTTCTTTCAAGACACATTTCTTAACAGAATGGGTTGTTACAAAGCAAGACCATCCCACATATCTAACCCCAGCTGCATGCAGCCATTTCCCTTTCTACTTCTCTACCATGTTGTGGCATGGTCAGGGAAGTCCTCACAAAAGGCTGGCACAATAGTGTTTGGACTTTACAGCACCAGAACTGTGGGCCACATAAACCTCTTTAACTGATGTGAGTTCACACCTCACATTATGTTATACCAACACAAAGCAGATTAAGACAGCCTCTTTGCAGACACAAGGGAGATTATCACTGTAGGCATGACAGTAGGCTCGCAGCCCTCATAATGCTGGCTGTCCCCTCTGAAAATGTCAGCTATGGGAGCAAACAGCAGCAGCAGCATGGAGCAATCAGCAGGGAGGACAGCAGGGATTCTTACCATGGGCAGCATGAAGCCACACTCATGGTTGTTGACTCCGATGATAGAAGGCACTGCTTTGAATGTTTTTTGAGACAATAGTTCTAAAGGCTCATCAGGGAAAAAAACGCCATCAATCACTCGATCAAAAGACTTTGTTTTCTGAAATAAGAAAGAGAAGAAAAAATAGAAGTTATCTCTGTTCACAAGTTGTGCTATCCCCAAAACCTAGTCAAACTAAGCCAGCTTAGTCAAGCAATGATCAAAATGCATTTAGAAATGAAACATTTCCCAGCCCCTTGGGAGGTTGACATGGAAAATTTTTAAGTCTGAGGCCAGCCTGAGCAACTTAGTGAGACCCTGTTCTCAAAATGGCAAATAAAAAGGTCTACAGATGTATCTCAGTGGTAGAGCACTCCTGAGTTCAACCCTTAGTACCATAAAAAAAGGAAAAAAATAAACCACTATTAGTCCAACCCAGTGTATCAATCCCTAGCCTAAGGATACAGCTATTACCTAGTCTAGTTAACTATCCAGTGGTCAGCCAGTGGTCAGCCAGACCTTGCTTGAATATCTGCAGAGATGGGCACCTCATTGCTTTCTAAAGAAGCCCAGACCTTTTGCAGACAATTGAAGTTTTAGGACATTCTCACTTATATTAAGCCAAAATGGCTTATAAGTATGTGTTAGGAAGTTCTCAGTTATACTAAGCCCAGCTATCAGTTTTGACTTTAGTTCCTGGGAATACGTGGAACAAGTGTGGTCCCTCTTCAGTGTCTCAGTGACAGCCATTGTATTCTGCTGGATCTTTTCCAAGAGAAGCATCACCTCTGTCCCATGAAGTTCACTAAATAACCTATAAAAGTTCTATTCCCTGCATAATGTAATTACAGCTATTGCAATGAGTCCCTAACTCTTCTCTTTCCCAAGTCCTAAGTCAAAACAAATAACAGAAAGATAGGATTTACCTACCACCAAGGACAACCTGATCCCCAAATTCTCCCTTCGTTCCTTACCTGGCCAAGGTTCAGCAACTCAGTGGAGGGTTTTGTCCTCAGGCAATTCAGAAGAGCCTTGGAGTCTGAGGCATTGCAGCCACAGACATCAGCAATGATCTGCAACTATTTCCACAAAAGAAGCAGGTCAGAACACAGCACTGAAAGCATCCAAGAGGTACCCTCTGCCCATTAGCTGGTCCTTTATATGTGAAGCTCAACCTGCTGGCCCTCCCCAGTTCCATGCACCTCTGTGGAATGTACGCATTAAGGACAGGTTGGCACCGCATTATGCTGACTCTCCTGGCTGGCCTCTGTGCTTCTTAGGAAATAATGCTGGGGATGGGACAGTTGTTACTCTGAGGCTATGGATTGGAATTTTGATTCCTGGTTATGGAGAGACCAATCCTGTGAGCTTAGCTGTAATGGCACTAGACCCCACCTGCATGGTGCCAAATGGAACTTGGAGCCTCAAGAGTAAGGAGCATCTTTGCAAGCTCCTTAAACATCAGTTCAGGCATGACTCTGGGTCAGTGCTTCATCAACTCTGCTCAAGTTCCAGCCCCAGAATAAATGGAAGTCTTTTTTCAGTTTCTACACCAATATCACTAACTTTTTTCTTTAACGTTTCACAATCATAATGCTGTATTTGTTTCTATTTACTTTTTTCCTAACTCACTCTTCCAGGCTAACTCCTGCCTCTTCTGAAACATCCCTTCAGCACACTGCAGCTCCATAGCCCTTTCCTCCCCTAACCTCCTGTCCCCCCCCCCAGTGGTCTCACCTTTCCTTCTTAGCCCATTGCTAAATACCCTGCCTTGGCCCTGTTGTTGAACTTCTATACTTGCAGAACCTATCTTTTGAGAGTAGTGGTTCTTAATCTTCTGGGAGTCTTTCTTTTTTTTTTTTTTTTTTTGGTTTTTCTCTGGTACCGGGAACCGAACTCACGACCTTGAGCTTGCCAGGCAGGCGCTTTGCCAGTGAGCTAAATCCCCAGCCCCTGGGAGTCTTTCAAAACTGTTACACACCTTCTGTCTTCCCAGGAAAATGCAACAAACATAGAGTCTGCATACAATTCTATGGAGTTCAAGAACAGCCTATTCATGGACTCCAGATTTTTTAAAACCCTTGTAATAAAAACATAGTAGTCTTTAAGAATTTAAGATATTATTTTTCCATTCATAGACCCATAGGTCCTTAACAGCACTGGAAAAACAATGGGAACTCAGTAAATGCCTGGTGAATAAATAAATATATATACTAATTGCTAGTAGGTTTTTATATAATATTGCCAAAATCAGTACTTTCTGTGTATTGAAGGTACATTCACATACAGAGAATGCTCTATATTTCTGCTTTTGGTATACACTGGTGTTGTCTATACAATATTTAACAAATGCAACACACAAGCCAAGCAGGGTGATATGCTCCTGTAGTCGCAACTATTCAGGATTCCTTCATCACAGGAGTTTGAGACCATAGTCAATGTGGTAAAATACTGTCAAAAGAAAGAAAGAAGAAAGAAAATAAAGAAAGAAAGAAGAAAGGAAAGGGAGAGAGAGAAAGAGAAAAAGAAAGAAGAAAGAAAGAAAGAAAGAAAGAAAGAAAGAAAGAAAGAAAGAAAGAAAGAAAGAAAGAAAGAAAAGGAAAAAGACAGAAAGAAAGAAGGAGGGTAGGGAGGAAAGAAGACGGAAAACTTCACCCAAAAAATGGTTGATATGTAGGAGATGGTTCCAGTGCCTAGGTCTTAATTAATATTCATTGAATGAATTAGCTCATTCATTCATTCACCCACATTTGTGCCTGCTTAATCTATACCAGACAGTATGCTGGTGGCATAAAGGACCAAGAAACTTCGGCCTCTAAACTCTTACTATCTAATAGAGCATTAATGCAACATGGCAAATGACAAATATGTATGACATATGTCACACATATGCCTGACCACCTCCCTTACAATCCCATGCCAGATACTATTAGTCAGTTATAGTCTTATTTCCCATTGCAAAAGAAAAATCCTTGATCTCTTCCATAATAAAATACCATCATAGGTAACCATTCCATGTAAAGCACAGAAGATGAACTACACAGAATAATGAGAACTGAGTTACTACATACAAAGAATAATGGATAGTGTGTAAGAAGTTTAACACGTATTTGAATACACTAAGCACAGCAGCGATGCTGCATTGTGCAACTGCATCCATTTCTTACTGAACCAGGCATTCCATGGAGGAACAGAGTCCCCTCTGGGCCAGCATGATGTTCTTTGGGCATGGCCAGTAAGAAAGCCAAGGTCATGATGACAAAGGTGCAGTCTGTGGATTCCTGACCATATTTTCTACTGACTAAGGAGAGGTATTAGGAATATACCTACATCCTTCCTCGACTCATCAAGTTTCTTTGGGTTAGGCGTGATGGCCACCCCACTCTCCATGATGGCTTTGTGAAATAGGCTCTTGGCCAAGGGAGACAGAACCTGAAGAAAGAACACAAGAAACCCAGGAAAGTTGTCCCAGAAACCCCCATGCATCCCACATACCACCCATCCCTTCTTTAAGAAGCCTTCCCAAAAAGGGAGTACTTTGGGAGCCGGGCACAGGTCCCAGTTTAGGGATTCAAAGACAAGCTGTGAAGGTGTGAACAAGTTATTTAACCTGTCTGAGGCCTTGACTCCTCATGAACATTTTAGTCAAGCATTCTACTGTGTAAATTCTAGCTCCTTCTTTTCCTTGCTGGGTCACCACAGGCAAGTCACTTAACATTTTTAAGCATCAGTGTACTTCCCTGAAAAAGTAGAGTATAAATTGAGCCTGTATCACAGAACTGTGGTGAAAAGTGGAGGAAACAATGAATATGATATTCTGCACACAGTCCCTGGGCAAATTTTACTTACAACATGTAGCTGTTATTATATACATAATGTTAGGTTAAGATAATCTGCCTTACAAGATAATTTTGAATTTATAAAAATACCTTAAATACTGTCAACTGCTATACAGCTAACGGTCCCTTAACCCACTACCGTGTGATTGATTTCTGTAATTAATCACTCAGTCAGTGCATCATTTTCTGGTATCTGCATATGTTTCTGTTCCTACCAGTTTCTTTCCAAGAGTCAGATGTGTTTGCTTCTATTCTTGTTTTGTCAGTTGTGCTTATTATTGTAATTATATAGTCCATGAAATATGAAAGGAGTCAATGGACTATGTAGATAAAAAGAAAACAAAATTGTGTCCAAGGGTTTAAACGCCTTGCTATCACCAAATAGCTAAAAATAACTGCTGTCAAATTAGGTGTGGATAAGAGAAGAGTAAAATATCTAGAACGAAAAAAAACTATAGAAGAAACTGTAGCCTTGCTAATTTAAGTTTGGGTTTATTGTCAAGAAAATGAAACTGTGGTTCAAAGGCACTGAATTCTGCCCATGGTTTACACAAAAGGATCCATGTTGGAGCAGAGCAGCTGTGGAGATAACACTGTGTGAAGCCACTGGTGAGGGGTGTACATTTTGTTGCTTTCAGTTAAAATAAATTGTTTATATACTTGTTTTGTAATTTCATGGTCTCATCGGGTTTTTCTATTAAACAATACCATGGTTTGGATGCAGTGTGGGTGTCTCTCAAACATCCAAGTATGGAGACTTGGTCTTCAGGGCTGTGGTATTGGGAAATGGTATGGAACCTCTAAAAAGGGGGTCCTAGTGGGAGACCAGTGGGAGGCCTTGCCCTCCAAAAGGACTAAGTCATTCTCACAAGAGTGTTGTTCTAAAAGGAGCAACTCTGATTCCACTCAGCTCCCTCTGCTTCCTGGTTCAACATGTGATGCTTCCTCTTGCACACACAACCGCCATGATGTGATACCATCCACCACCCTCACCAGAGCCCAATCCATGGGGCTGCCTAAACTTTAATTTGGAGCATCTGAAACTGTGAGATAACAAACCTCTTATTTTATGGTTAACTTGCCTCTGGCATCTCATTATGATAACAAAGATTTGACTAATGCTCAAGTGGGTGAAGCCACCATCAGAGTGGAATTGAGGTCTTCTGACAGTCTGAGATTTAGTCATCTTCTTTCAGAAACACCTCAGAAAAGCTAATACAAACAAGTCATTGCCAGTCCTGGTAAATGGATGCTAGCCTTTCAACTTTACAAATATAAGGGATTTTTTTCCTCAAATCATTATTCAATGTATGACCGTAGGAGACTCATTACAAACTCTCCCAGTGACAGCTGCCTCACCCATGAAATGAGACTGTGTGTCTAATTCACAATTGTATCTCTGAGCCTCATGGGAGGCAGTGTGTATAAAAGTGTTTGTCCAACATGAAACCACCAATCAAATGTAAGTAACTGATTATCCTCACTTTTGTAACCTCCCCCACCAGGTTCACTGAAGTCACAATACACGGAACTCACAAGGCTAGAAACACTTATGGCTCCCGCTGACTCGCCGAAGATGGTCACAGAGCCTGGATCCCCACCAAAGCCTTTGATATTCTCCTGGACCCAGGAAAGGGCAGCCAACTGGTCCATGAAGGCCCAGTTCCCTGGGGCGTGCTGGTCCCCTGTGCTGGAAGAAAGAGGAGGGATGAGAATTCTTGGTTGGCAGCTCTGTTTCCTGCAGTCCAGGGAGTTCTCAGCAGAACCTATTGGCAGATGACAGCTGGGACAGAGTTGAGAAGCAGTGACTGGAGGAGCTGAGGAAACCAAGCTTAGTTCTCACCCTTTGCCAGGCTTCTTGTTTCTTTGAGGATCTGATGAAAATTATGCACCTTAGAAAATGCACACACAACATTGTATTCATGATTTCAGGTGGTTCCTAGGCACCCTGAATCCATGGATGGCAGAAGAGTCCTGCTCTTGTGAATGAGTCTGTACCAATCCAGCAAGATCTTCCTGGATACAGAGATCCCAAAGAATGAGAGCTGAGAACTATAACAACAATTGCTACAGCCACAGGATGTGCCGGAAACTGTTCCAAGTGTTTAAGGTGAATACAGTTGTCACAACCTGTGAGGCAAGTAGTTCTGGCTTTTCTCCTTTTGCCTTCCTGGGATTCTTTCCACCATTCTCTGCCTGCTCCCAAAAGGTTGATCTCTAAGAACTGTGTACTCTAGGCTTCAGCCACATGCCATCAGTGGGAGGTAAGGACAGATGCTTGAGGGTGGAGAGAGAGAGAGACCGGGGTGCTCATCCCACCACCTCATGTTCCTTCTATTCTATGAAGTGGTTTTGACAGTAGCCATATTTCTCCACTGCCACAGCTTATACAAACACCCTTTAATTAATTCTGTGAGCGTGTCATCAGGATAATGACGGATACATCATCTTTTGCAAAGAGATGAAGGGCTTCAGGCACAGAGAGGTTAAATCCCCTTATTGCAGGGTGTGGCAGGGACAGTGCTAGAAAGTTGCAGAGTTGAGATTCAGTGAGACAGGCCCTAGAGGCCCTGTTCCTAACCACACTCCATGCTCTGACCCCTGAAGAATTGCGTGTTTCCCAGACTTAATGGACAGTTAATGGGAAATAAGTGAAAATGCCACAGAACCAAATGAATGCCTAGACTAAAGACATTCATGTGATGCACTTATGTACATAATCTCAGGGTCACATAGTACTTCTCACCATTTCCCAGTCCCCTAAATTCCTCCTTCTGCTCCTGGGTTCTGTTCTCTGTCCATGACTGATGGCTGACTCTGACTACACCTCTCACTTTCCAGACCTCTCCAACCCCTGCTAATGTCACCTCCACTCCATGGTGAAGCCCACATAAGTCTCCACTGCTCCCTTTCTATTTATCCTGAGAAGAACTACACCTCAATGTTTAAGATTTTAGTCACTCACACAGGATTCAAAGTGTGGCCACTCACTGTCTGGTGGGTGACATTAGGCAAGTCATTTAACTAAGCTGAGGTTCAATGAGAATATTGAATATCTTCATTGCATATCTTCATGTTCTCAACATTTTCATGTTGAAAGTGGGGATTACAACTGTCCCTGTTCCACATAGTTGTTAGGAAGACTGACAGTGCTGAACACAAAAGTGTTATAAACAGGTTAGAAATTCTTTTCATGAATCAAACTCCTTATGGCCTGCATCAGGATTGGGCAGTAGCCTTCCAAATAACTCCTCACCTACAGCTGGGCACACTATGTCCAGCCTCCATTCTCTATGGAGTAAGCTTACTGGTACATGAGCTGAATGGGGTACTCCTGAGTACCACAGTCTTTAGAGAATACAGAATACCATGAATGACCTAGTATTCAAGGACTTGCCCAACCAAGCCTGCCCCTGTCTTTCGTATCTATCACCTACTATATCCTTACCTACCTATGGTCAAACCAAGATAATATAACCAATTTTTGGAAACCAAATTCCTTCCTGCCAAAGGAACCTTATTGAAAACACTAGTGTATAAAGCAGCTAAAATATAATTGCTCAGATAAAGGCACCCATCAGCCTGCCCTGATTTCACAGCAGTCCCAGATCCAACACCCATTGCTATAGCCCAAAGCTTTCTTTGCAAATATTTCTGCAGCCCCATTATTGTTATATCCCTTCTAGCTTCCCAGCCTTGGTTTAGGTAGCACCTTTAGCTAAGCGTACTCTCTCCCAAGCTCAATCCCATCTTTAAGGCACAATGGGAATACCACCTCTCTCAGGAAGCTCTGGATCCCTGGCAGCTCCCTCCTCTTTTCCACACCCCCTTGCTTCTCATTCCTGGGGAATTAATCCTCTTCTGCCTGGCATCACGGATGTGGATGCCCCACTGGCCCATGAGCCTCCAGGAGGAAGATTCCTGTGTGAATCCCTCCTGCCATCTCCACAGCATGTGACAGAAGCCTCCAAACAGGATCAGAGCCCCAACTCTCACTGCTCCTCTGTTGCTCACATTGGATTTACACTGCCATGCTCTAGGCAGGATAATAGAGGTGGTCAAGAGAACCATCTCTGCTCTGTGACTGGGAAGCTGTTACTTCCCAGGTAATGGAGACATAGAGATGCCTTCATTTTTCAACTATAGTATTGGAAGAACAACAGAATATGTCTTGTACTATCAGACGGTGAGTGGAATAACATGACAGGTGCAAGTATCAGGCTGATTCTCAGCAAGTAGCCAGTACAGGGTAGGTATCACAGGGGTACTGGGGAGAGGCAGCGCAATAGAAGGATTATTCTCGGGGAGCATTTGAGGAGCCAGCTGCTCAACAACCTGTTCCTTTATCTTCCAAGCTACAGGTCTGGGCTACACTTCCCTGTGACCTTGCAGTTAGATTTGCTCAAGTGA